CCCCCCCCGTGGTCCTGTGGTCTGGGTTTGGTGTTTTAATTAAGAGGTTTAGCTTAGGTTTATAGAAGCTTATAGTGTTTATGCAAGGGTTCTATGCAGTCCAAAGAAGGTTTGCAGACGGTTCATTAATTCAACAAGCGTTTAGAGGTCTCAAGAGGTCTTCTGAAGGGTCTCTAGAGGCTTTCTAAAGGCTTGATAGAGTATTATACATGGGTTTTATACATATCTTACAGAGATAGATTGTTTCTAGAGGGTTTATAAACGTTTTGTATGAATCTTAATAGGTAACCCCCCCTTGTGGTCCTGTGGTCTGGGTCCTGTGATGAGGGTTTTTATAGTGTTTGCAAGAAGGTTTAGAGAGGTCTTACGGAGAGTTCATGGCTCTGGGAGGATAGAGATATGGCTTATTCCCAGATAGGGACCATACCATGGGGGGCGGGGGGTTGAGAACACGGAACGCGGACGCATATATAGGGGCGTACCGGGAATGGAAAGAAAATGGCATGGAAGGGATGATATGATTTAGCGTGCAGGCGCTTTCCCATGAAACCCCCTCGTTCCCTAATATGACACACTTCCTACATATACCACAGTGGGAAAGTTTATGTACTATGTGCGCGGGGGGCTTGATGGCTTGACATAGGGGGTGGGAATAATTCCTATATGGCTTATCTGTCGGTAGAGAGATAGATAGATCTATCTCTCTCCCTCTCTCTCTAGTTTGCATTTCATTTTCCGCGCTTTTTCCATTTTGCTCTCCTAAACCAACAAAATCAATGTTGTTGAAATTCCGGATGCTACCAACGACCCTGCCTGACCAGTTTGTCTCAAGTCACACGGTGGGGATGGGGCAAAGTGCTTTCAAAAAATCACCGTCAATAATCCTAGAAACTCTCAGGACCCCCACTACCTGGTACCCCGCTACCCATCTAGACCCGAAAAAAGAAGGAATATGGTCTACATAGTATCGGGGTACCAGGTAGTGGGGGTCCAAAGAGTTCCTAGGATAAACCCCAATCCTTAAACCCTAAACCCTGAACCCCAATCCATGGGTCCTTCACGACCTTTGTCAGAGACGACACGTCCACGGGGCCGTCTGAGAAGAATTGGCCAGCTTCGGCCGGCTTCATCCTAAGGAGTTACCCAAAGGGTCCATGTAGGTCCATATTGGGTTTGGGGTTTAGGGTTTAGGGTCAAGGGTTAATGGTTTAGTATATATATATATAAATTGTTTTTCCTGCCCTCTTTTTGAAAGATAGGGTTTGCGGCTGGGCTTTGGGTAGGTATGTAGTATATACTTGGGGCCCAAAGGGGTTCCGAGAACTACTTGAGGGTTAGGGTCTACCGAAGGGCTTCCATGTAGACCCTTTTTGGATTTGTTATGGTTTGGTTAAGGATTTAGGGTTTAGGGTTACTGTATAAAGAACCCCCAAAAACAACAGTACATGGGAGGTTCTGCTGGGTAGGGTCGAGCGCGCAGTCTTTAGGTAGGTTTAAGCGTTAAGGTTTAAGGTGCTTAGGGTTTAGGGTGTAGGGTTTAGGGTCCTACTGGTGGCTAGTAATGGAGGAATGGATCACTTCTGTGGCGCCTTCATACTCCACAACACTACAGAAGTTTCCGAATTCTTTTCCATTCGTTATCTACTAGCAACCTTTTAAGTGATACTTTCCCAGAATAAGGCCCCAATATAGACCCCAAAATACTATAGTCCTCATTATGAGGACCCCCAAAGGTACCCCTAATTTTAGGAAACCCACAAGTTCTGCAAGCAGGAGAGCCTGTATAAGGAGCATCTCGCGTGGATCACAGGATGAACAGTTCCCGCTATCTATATATACATACATATAATGCGTCAAACAAACCTCGACATAATAAACTTAGGTATCCACCGTATTCTTGGTACAAGTCTTTAGATGTGACAGGGCTATTCTTTTGATCATAATTTGGCGTGTCAACTCAAGTGATGCTAGATATTTGTGCTGGAGGGAGGCGGGCATGTTTTTCAGGAAATTTGATTCTCGAACCCACTCAGTGGCAATCCTGTACCAGGCCATGCCTACTGCAAAGTATTTGAAGCAGGCTTGCGTCTTCAACCCCTCCAGGCTCTGAGCTCTAAACCCTTAGCCCGGAACCTTAAACCCTCAGTCAGCCCTGGACCTTAAAATCCTAAACCCTAAACCCTAGACCGAAGACTAAACCAGGAGTCCCATAGACCCACGATCCCGCCCCCTCAACCAAACCCTATAGTCCCCCCTTAAGTAGACGAAAATTTTGCCCAATATTCTATTGGGGTTATATAGGGATAATGGAAAAATAGAAACTACTATATTATGATAGGGTACCTCTCTTATTAAGTGGATAGAAAATGGGTTATATGGGGATCTTATTATAATGTACCCAAAGCCATATTCTATCTACTTAAGGGGGACTATAGACCCTAGGCCCTTGGCCTCTTCTTTGCCTCGGTCACGAAGATGTCCGTGGCCTTCTTGCCAAGGAGGTCGCTAATGCGACGCACCTCTTCAACTTGCGCAAACGAAAAGCGAGGTAAAGACAAAGAGAGAAAAAGAACACTGAGAGGGAAGGTTGGAGGGGAAGGAATAGGGGAATCTCCCGATAAAAGCCTACTCCGAGTGCGATCTCATCCCCGATCTTACCAGATGTTTGATGTATCTTGGCACAAACTTTTTAGCTCCCTGTGAAAGCATTAAGGAGGATTGCGAGAATTAGAGGTACTATTTTCGGCATCCCCATAACCCTATAAAAGTGGTTATAGTATACAGGTCTGTCTAGTGCGTCTCCCTGTTCATGGAAACCCCATATTACTGTGACCTACAGAATCCACTTTCCATCTTTCTCGCCTCCTTCAGATCCTTGCCGGGGATGTCTGTGTAGCAGGCATTCGGGGTGTCGTCCTTGCCTGGGCATACTTACGGCAGCTTGCTTGCCATGTTTGATTGCTCCTCTTGAACCGCAATCAAAGATCTTGTCCCAGCTGAGATTCTGAGATTCTCAAAGACAAGCCCGAATTGATAGTTTGCTACATTGATCATAGGATGTTCCACAATGTTTGCGTGCATGGTGCCTGCTCCAGCTCCTCCTTCATACTAGAATTTTGCTTGCAGTTGTGGGTTTCAGGCCGGTAGGGGGGCAAGAAGGCCGCACACAAGACCATCCCTCTGCACATGTTCCTTTTGAAGCTAGGTCAGGGCCAAAGTGAGGAACAAAATTGGCCCAGGCCAAACACCATATGAGCTCTTGTCTAAAATCCTGATATCCCCCTCAGGAACCCCTATAACAGTCCCCTATATGATTCCCTTTAAGGAGTTTAAACTATAGAAGTCGCTCAAATAATCCCGTGCACGTACGTAAACCCTAAACCCTAAACCCTAAATAGTAGTTTCCATTTTCTTTTCCACTAGTACTACCCAAGCGTATATCGGCTGCTACCAATAAGGGACGAGGAGCAGTAGGCCGGCAAGCACTTGGAGATACCGACGCACGAGCAGTTGAACTCACCCACGATCCACTTCTCATCCTTCAGGCCCAGGGATTTATGCTTTGGTTTAGGGTTTAGGGGTTTAGGGTTTGGGTACCTGTAAGAGGATTGGTATGGAAATTTACAGAACCCCTATCCGCAGTTTAGATCAAAAGCTCGATGCGAAAATCCGACGGCTTTAGTCTGATGAAGTGTAAGGGGCCCTGCAAACAATTGCCCACTCTGGCGTCTTCAACCCGCAACTGACCTGAATCCAAACATTCCTTCCTGCTCAAATATCCGCCCAAATCCCACCAAGTCATAATCCGGGCTCCCTTATCATGATGTCGTCACGCCTCGTAAGCATGAAGTGCTGATGGCATCAAATTGCAGAAGGCGGTCGTTAATTCTGTCAATACTGCCTCCTGTAGCACCCTGGAGCCTGAAAATTACAAACGTTCTACTCGTATCTACTCGTGATGATGATGCAATTGTATAGTCTATGCCCCGAGACCTTGTGGCCGCAATCTCCCCCCACTTTTTACGTTGTACCTAGTTGATGCACGGCCCTCGGACCCTCCTTGGCATCAGTGCCCTCTGGAGAGGAGTTGATGAAGTCAGAAGTCCACCACAAAGGGATTGGCTCCTGAACAACGCAGCTTCTAAAGATGATATGCCGAGGATCGTGCTTTTAGGTTTTGCTTCACCCTTCAGACATAAAAGTGGCCTATAGAAACCCTAAACCCTTAACCGCTAGACCTTCTATATGCCCTTATTTAAAGTAAGAGACAGGCAGCAGCTCCAGGACAGAGGATCTTTCTCTTGTGGGTGGGGGAGAGGGCCTTGAAGTTGGAGGATGAGTAGGACATACCTAACTTTGCACTAAAATCCTGTCCGAACTCCTGTGGCGTAGATGAGGCGGACCACCCACCCTGTGGTAGTTGCTATAAGGGATAATAGGGATTATATTAGGGTCCTATTCTATTCGTATTATACCACTTTTACAGTAGAATAGGATCCTTGGAGACTGACGATCAGCTGGAGCGAACGGGCGAGGGGTGCCGAAGGCGCAGGGGCAGGACTGGGTCAACATGATGGTTTGCTGGGATTAGGGCTAGGGGGTTGAGCTTAGACTAGGGTTTGGGGTTTGTCAGCTTTTAAGTCTACCATAGCATGAAAGCTAAAGCTTGAAGTTAGAACCTGAACCCACATCGGATGCTCCAAGCTATAAAACCTCAAAGCCATGCCCACCAGCCATCGATCCCAGTCCCAACCCCCTAGCCTCTGAAATCTTGATCGTACCGAATAATAAGAAGTAACCATAATCCTAGAAGTTTCGTTGAGAAGCTGGTCCTCTCCCAAGCCAAGAGCAGGCATGATCTTCCTCAGGCAATGCCAGCTTCAAACACAGCCATTAGGACAACGGAGGTTATAGGCTTGGGCACGTAGGGTTCAGCACCACCAATTTGACCCCAAGAGTATGTAAAATCACCCTAATATCCTTAATATGCTCAAACAAAGCCAACGCTAAACCCTGCTGCCCTATACCTTGGGGCTTCAGACAAGGGTTTAGGACCTCGGCCTTGGGATTTGTGAGTTTTGCTTTTGCCGAGTTTGGTAGAGCTGTCCCAGAAACGAGGGGGTGTGTATATGGGGTGCCAATAATGAGGACTACCATACATTGGGGTCTATATTCGGGTCCCCAAGCCCTAAACCCTAAACCCGAAACCCTACCCCCATGTTGGGAAATGACCATCGAATATAGAATGCACATGTGTAAGGAATGCATGGCGGTCTTCCAATGTGAAGGTGCGATCTGCTTCACAACAACTACCTGGGTTTGGAAATAGGCCAGGGCTCCTAGAACCTCTAATTCCTTCTTGTGTTGTATATTAGAACCCCTTACCAAAAAATGACGAAGCCAAAAGGAACTTCGCAGGAGCCCTGGTGTAATTTCACCACGCCCTCCCCAGAATATCTTGAAAACAGCTGGAACCTCTTGTTTGTCTTAATGCCTCTTTTTGACAAAGCTTCTTTGAAGGATCTGACCTTTGGGAATTGCGGCCAAGAAAGTTTTCAGACGTGCAAAGTGACTTGAATTTCGAGGGCTTGACGATTGCTAGAAAGCGGATTTAGGTACCGGCCCCCCGAAATTGGGACCCTATAGCTATCATATGAGAGTTTTGGGGGTTGGGGTCAATGAAATTATCTTGCAAACAGATGGCTTGAACAGTTTCAGGCTGTTGGCATCTGAGTCCAACTCCTGCCGAGGTAGCTGAAAACCTGAAACTTTCTGGATTGGAATATATTGGAATCTCCTATGGAGATAGCCTCAATCATACAGTATTGAAATGCATTCCCAATGTCGTGATGTGGGAGTTTCTGAAAATGTGCCAGACGGGGAATATGTAATAGGATTCCATCGGTTTCTGTTCGGGATCATGTGGTACAAGTAGGTTGTCGAGATTATAGTCCATTTCGGGTTCCAAACCCTTCATAATAAAAAACAGTTCGAGAACCCAAAAGTTTCCTTAACCCCAAACCCTAAGCCCTAAACCCTAGACCCCAAACCCTAAACCCAAACCCTAATCCGAGGATCGGAAGATCTTCCTTCAGGAAGTTGTTCGTAAGGCTCCTGTCTGTCTTTGCTCACACTTTTGGGGTTTGCCAGCCAATTCGGGGTCCCTTGCTGGGACTCCCTAGAATTCCCAAAGGGTCCATGTAGGTCTATAAGTAGTATATATTTAGGGCCCAGAAAAGTTTCCGTATAGCGCTACATGGCCCGGATTAAGGTTATGGTAACGGTGCATTTTGGGCTACACGTGGAGCACACCTGTTTTCGGAGACCATATTTTTTGGAGGCGCTTTGGACTTAACGTTTTAGAGCTTCAGGCTTTTCGTTGTTGTGGGGTTTCATGGGCGTGAGAGATTCAGGGTGTTTTGATTAGGGTCTTATTGCTTGGGGTTTAAGGATTTTGGGTAGTCTGAGGCCACATGATAATGGAAACTTGGTGTTGCGGATGCGCAGGGCTGCAATTGGTGAGTGTGCGAGCACTGTTGGGAGTTGAAGAAATCTTTCTTCCTACTTTGCATCAAGCAAGTTGGCTTTTAACCTAGGTTCGCCTTATGAATCGAAACAAGATTCTCTTTTGGCGGCACATCATCTGGTAAATGCGGTCGCAGTGAGTGCTCTTGAGCAAAAAGTTGGAGGGCAAGGGTCCTACATGGGCGTTGCTGGAAAAGAACTGCTTAGGGGAAAAGTGTCATGGATTACAAGCAGATAACACGGCCCCCTTCAGGGGTACTAGGGGGCTTATTTGGCAAAAAATGACACAGCCGGACTCTGCTTTTCAGCTTTCCTGAACCCTAAACCGTCTGCTTTGGCTCTGAAAGCCAGAAACAAAGTTCTGGATTCCCCTACCACCCCCCTTACTGCCTCCATGCGTTCCCACCTTAATTACTAGCCCTATATTACTGTCCTTAAGCAACCTTGATTAAGGCGAACCTAGAGATTGGTGCAGGCAGATAGTAGGGAATCCATAAACGAGGTGTCAAAACCCCTGCAGATTCCTAAGTTCTTCAGGATGAGCTGCCTTGCAACCTCATCCCAACTTCCATTCCTAACCTAAGGGCCCCCTAGCATTTGCTCATGGGCCGGGACCCTTTGAAAGCACTTGCGCCCGCATAAGGAACCAAAACTTTGCCAAGCGGCGCAAACTGCTTCTCCTTGGGACCGTAATACGTGTAGACCTCATCAACGTGATCGTGGACCCATATGTGAAATCGAATTCGAGGGAGTAACCGAAGGGTCATGGCATCTGTGGAGACAGAATACAAATAAGTTGAGGCCCTAAACACGAAACCTTAAATCCAGCTTTTCTAGTTATGGACCTCCATAAGGTGCATCTCCAATATTACTCAGGTAATTCATGGACATAGAGTTCCTTAACAAGCCTAATATTTACAGTAGCTCATATGACTTTCTGGTAACCTGGTAGCTGTAGCCCTATTCATCGCCGCACGTGCCACGCACTGCGCCTGCAATGCAACTGCGTGTGATCCCACACCGCTTCTCAAGTGGCTTTAGCCTATTCATCGACCTTTGCTTGTCCACTACAAGTAGATTGTGACTAACAACTGCTCTGTTGCATCCGGCCACCACTCGGCTATACTACTCAATTGAGATGTATGGCTGAGTGTCCTAAAGCCCACAGAAGATGAGCATACTACGCATGTTTACACAATAAGAACAGAATTTCAACTCAATCATAAGTATAGTCTACTATGATCATCTCACTCACACCTTATGGTTATGAATGATAGCAATATTTTGAATACCACCCTGAACCTCAACGTCTGGTTTGCCGCGACGGGACGGATCCAGTGCCACCAACTGCACTAATACCGCCTGCAAGATCAAAGGCCAACTGACTTGGGGCACCCCCAAAATGATTATGTAGTTGGTTCTTGCAATGTGAAAAATTTTGGGGGCAAGGGATCAGGCAGCAGCTCAGGATACAGCGCAGGGCAAAAGAGGCAAGATCCGGCCATGACAACAAAGACTGTGGGACTTCATCGATTGCTGTGGTGCTGCAACTGTTCGAGCTCGACGACGCCTTGCCTTCCTTCGGCTTCTTGTGAATGATGCCGACAAGAGAGTCGCCGACCTCAGCTCAACTTCCGCATACCCAGAGCCTAAACCTAATCATGGCTAAAAGGATGCTGAAAGTAGGCGAGAGGATAGAAGTACTCATCTAGGGGCTGTTTGCTACTATCTCACTCCTTGCGCATGTAGACGCCCGACCTTTCCGAACTGTCACAGCATCCATTCATCTCCCTTGCGAACACACTGCTCGCGGCGGATATTCAGGGGACTTCTTCCGTGTCTCCCGTGCTGATTCTGACAGCACCATGCGAACGGTGCATAGCGCCCTTGCAGAACCCCAAGCCGTCCATATACACATACATCCCCCTACGCCTCGGGGCAACCCTGAAGACTACAGCCAAGGTCCTCAATGCCAACACGTTGACATCACCGAAACGAGCACACGCTTCGCAATGAACTTAGTAGGCCTAGCGCTGAAATCTGCACTGTGCAGGTCAACCTAGCCTTAACTGCTACTACATGCATCACTGTGACCTGTAAGGTCCTGAGAAATGCCGCCCAAGCGGCCATGTTGTAACGCAGCTCGCCTTCGACAATTCGAGGGCAAAAACCTGAGACTGCCCACATGTTTGAGGTCAGCTGCAAAAATGAGTCCTCAACAGGAAAAACGTTAGAGCGAACAACTTGTTGGCAGTCATCTTCCTTCAGGTCCCTCCTTCTCTTCGTACTATCGTACTGGCACTACATCATTTTCTACTGCTACTAATGATGCCGCTGTTGCTGCTGCTACTACCACAACAACAACCTCTGCTACTGCTACTGCTACTACTCCCACGAATAATAATACTTCTTGTTTCCATGCCCCTTCTTCTCATCACATAAAAAACCGCCGAATCTCCATGGCATCCTCACTACCCGCAACCCAACCAGGACGTGTACCGCCCTAAGGCGGCGCTATTCTAGGGACCCTTTCATGGGAGATGTAGGGATATAGCTTTTACATATGGATTATGTGCACCATCCCCCTTAGTAAGACCTCCCATACTCCCCTATAGAATCCCCCCTCTAAGGAGCTTAGACTACAGCTCATATGGGGATTATGTAGGGTTCAAGGCTTGGGGTTTAGGGCTTCAGGCCGAGACACGCTGGTCAACAAGCTGGCCACCAGCCTCCTTGCCTCCCTCCAGATACCTTGGTGACTTAATTTACTGCATCGGTTAGGTGGACCTCCACCCAGTAATAGTGACTATAAGGGATAATACGGATTATCTTAGGGTCCTAATATATTCCTATTATACCACTATTACAGCGTGGGGGGTCCTCCTACTGCATCGGCCTGAACAACTAGAATAAGGCTTTGGGGGATTTGGTAGTTTCCCAAAATTAGGGGTACCTTTTTGGGGGTACCCATATTAAGGATTATAGTATTCTGGGGTCTATATTGGGGTCCCCCTATTTAAGGAAACTACCATTTTGTGCTATATGTATACTGAATATTGTAGAGGAAAATTTGGGCTGGAAGGGGCCGGCTCCTGAATTTGAACTAATCCAATTGGCTTGTACAGACGAGGCAGGCAGTGGAAGAAAATTTCGGGCTTGGGGTCTGGGAGTTCAGCGTTCTTGGAGCCTGCAGACGTGCCAGTGTTGTGTCACGAATTGGAAGGTGTTGCATGGCTCAAGACATGCTAAAAACGTGCTATTGCCGGCCACCTCAGAGGTCCAACGAGGGGTGTTTGGTCCTTTGACAGGTTCAATGGCCAGGTTATCGTCAGATTTGTTAAGTTCCAAGTGCATTGAGGTTGACAGCCTTTACCTTCCGCTTTGGAAGTCTGTCGCAGCTGCGGGACTTCGAAGTTTGGACTTGAACTTTGGCGTGAGATGGGACACTTAGGCTGAATGTCCGCCTCTTCCGGTGCCCAGAACTCCAGCCCTCCTCTGCGTCCGTATAGCTGGAACTCAAAGCGCGGTTGAAAACTAAAACGGCTCACCATTTGCACACTACGAGTAGAACTCATCAAAAAAACTCCACAGTCAGTGTACAGGCAAGTTGTTGCGTTTCTGATCAAGCCCAATTCAGAGCCAAGAGACTTTCCAACACCCTTGGAGGCCCATTCGCCGCTCTTGCCTTTGCCGCTGCAGTTTGCGGGAGGAATGTTTGGGCTTAAGCCCTCACCCACTCACTAATAATAGTGACCACCAGTGGATAGTGGTAGTTGTATTAAGGTCGCTACACATAAGCCCATCATATACCGTCACTACGCCGCTCTTACTGAGTTAAACAAAACCAAGGAATATGTCCAAAAACACAAAGTGAGCCCAGGCTTCAAAAACAGTACAACACATCCTGGAATCATGTGAGCTGCAGTCAATTTTTCTCGTATAGCTAATGGAGAATCAAACGGCAAACAAAATGGACAACAACATGGACACCGTTATAGTATGTGTAGGGGATATGTCGCGATTATAAATGATTGTAAAACATATGGTTTAGATGAAGTAATGGAAAAGGGAATGGATACACCTATTCAAAAGCCCCTAGCCCATGTGAGCTATAGTCTAAACACCTAGTATCCCCCTTAATAACCCCTATAGTACTCCCCTGAATAATCCCCTATATAATCCCCTTTAAGGAGTGTAAACTATGGCTCATGTAATACGAGCCAGGCACTGGTGCGTCCGCTGACACAGAATTCAATGAACTCTCCAACGGTATGCCTCAAAGACACCATCAGAACGTGCTGCTTTGGAGGGCTTCGGGTTTTCGTAAGCTTTCAGGTTTCAGGGACAGGCTGCCGGCATTTCAGGGATTGGCTTTTACAGCCAGCTCGGCAGCATAGCTGCTGATGCTTTTTGTCCTGTGTCAATATGGTCCCAAAAGATTCTAATCCTTATTATTGCGGGCACCCCCAAACATGTACCCTAGTTTGGGGAATCTCCCATGTCATCTCTGAAGGTGCGATGACATGAGCAAACTCTGCAGCTACACATACGCTAAACCCTAACCCTGAACACTGAACCCTAAACCCTACACCTAAACCCTAAGCCCTCACCCTAAACCCTAAACCTAAACCCTAAACCTAAATCCACCTAAACCCTAAACACTGAAACCTAAACCTAAACCCGCCTAAACCCTGAACCCTAAACCCAAGGACAAGCTCGGCTCTCCTTCATGTCAACTCCAGAGCAACGCAGGGGTGCTGGTTCAGAACCCGAAGGGTCTATGTAGGTATATAGTACATGGGGAAGTACAAGCTTCAGGGTTTAGGATTTAGGATTCATAATTTAGGGCAGGTATATACTCTAGTATACACTTAGGGCCCAAAGGGTGCACACATAATTCTTTTAGGGCCCAGGTACATACTATAGAGCTACATGAAACCTTCGGGACGGCTTGCAAATAGAGAGCAGAGCACGGCACGTACGAGGGGCCAAGTTCGACCGATCACGGCCGTAAAGATCTCTCTCTTGAACAACTGACAAGAGCCCTGAAACTAAACTCCCTTTTACTGGGTTGATGTTGAGGAATTTAGATTAAGTTACCATAATGGGTATTTATAGTAACTAATAGGGCTTCCCAAATATAGTAACTTAGATTAAGTTCCTTAACAGCAACGCAGTTTATTCTTGAACACTTAGCTGTGTCCCAGATGCTCCTCGGAGTGGTTGTCATTGGCCTGAAGCACAATCCAGAGCTTTGGCATTTAGCAATCATGGTGCAATCACTCTAGTTCCTCAAGATTGGAGGGTGGCATGGTGGACCACCATTTAAGTGATCAATATGGATCAAGCTTGTTTGCCCAAGGGTTGAACAAAGTTGAAGAAGCTAGACGTGTGAGAGCAACCCAAGACTCCTCCCGGAAAATACGCGGTTCCAGTCAGTTGTGGGGAAATATATAAGGATTCTATAGGGGTTATATAAGGATTCTATAGGGGTTATAATGGGTCTATATAGGGGATCTAAATTTTAGACATCTCGAGCACATCTCTCGAACAGCTACCCCAAAGGAGACATGTACGAAGAGCTTTGCCTGACGCTTGTTTGATCAATCATGGGCTTCTGGTTCGGAAAAGTTTGCCACTGCACGCATGTATAAGCCATAGTCTGAACTCCTAATATCCGCCTTAATCACCCCATTGTACTCCCCTATATAATCCCCTATATATCTCCCTTTAAGGAGTCCAGATTATGGTACATGTGACATTGAGAATTGGCTTTCTGTCCATACCCAAGGGCTCCTATGTAGTCCCTTGTTGGGCTTTTCTGGTTCTCTGGTGAGGGATTCTAGTATACTACACACAAAGGAACTACATAGGAGGTTCTGGCCCCAGTCCCCGACAAAAACAAAAAAACACGACTCGTGGCGCTGGTCTTGTGAAACGATCTGCTCTAAGCTCAAGGTAGGGTTTAGGGTTTAGGGCTTCAGGCTTTGATGCCTGGGGTTCTACCTCCACGTTTTGGGATCCTTTTAAGGGACCCTACGGGGACTGCGTTGGCTCATATTAAGGCCATATTGTGGAAACCTTTTGCGGGTACGACCTGAAAGGGGTACAACATGCAACCCTTGAAAAACCATTCTAACTCATACTCAGTTATTCTGCCCCAAGTCCGGCAATTACACCTGAAGCTATCAACGCTGAGCCACTTTGGTCCACATAAAGGTTCCCTCGTTGAAAAAAATCGGGGCGTTGCTGCCAACGCTGAATATTGTGGAACATGAGGGATTGGGAAGAGCAGTTGGTAGTTTCCAACAAAAGGGAGCCCAATATACACGCCAAAAGACTCTAGCACGTCTATGCCGCCCCCGAGAAGGGATCATTAAATTTTTGGAGACCCCATCTTTATGTGGGCCTCCATCAGGTCTAGCACTTCGTCGTCGCTGCAAGAGCGTTCGCCGTAGGTCTTGCCTTGTGGCAAGGGAGGCTGAGTCATACAGCAAAATACTAGTCCTCATTATGTGAGCCCCCCAAAAGTACCCCTACTTTTGGGAAACCCCGATGATTGCGTTGAAGAGTTCAAGTAGCCAAGTAACAAGTCCTTCATTGGGCTCTGAAGTGTCCAGGGTTTCGGGTGTAGGGTTTACGGTCTGTGTAATGTAGGAACCTATGTGGCGGTGTATGTACTATGGGTCCGACCCTTTTCGGGAACCTGCCGGCTGGTGCGGAAATTCAGGTGTATGGCTGACCATGCAAATGTGGCCCACACGTCCTTCAACATCCAGGTCCATGGGTTTACAGTCCCCTTAATTAAATGGAATATGGGGTATTTGGGGATCTTATTATAATATACCCAAAGCCATATTCTATCTATTTAAGGGGGACTGTAGTGTTTAGGGTTTAGGCTACCGTCCTGATTTTGAACTAGCAATCCCTCAGTCCTTTCTCTCATAAAACTCCAAACTCTGACCTGCACATCATGCAAACTCTCTCTACACCACATCCAGGCGCAGTAGTTCCCGGACTTGAGCTTGATGATCCAGATGCCTTCTCCGGAAGACCCGCGGTTCCTGGGCTGGTGCATGTCGACTAACTTCCTGGTGGTTCGTAGGGAACACGGGAATATATTATATAGGGACTATGCAGGGATTATATTCCCTTATCCCCCATAAGCGAATATATTATATAGGGACTACATAGCCCTAAGGGTCCAAGTACCCAACAATCATATACTTCCCCAAAACCTATACTACAATTACTATTACCCAAATCCTAAGTACCTAATTATTGGGTACTTGGACCCTTTAGGGTAGGGATTCTATTCCTTTTTACCCTACTAACCACCAGCAAGTTTAGCTCCTTTAGCTCCTTTGGGGCTCCGAGGCCACCCTGACTTGTCAATACTCATACGGAATATCAAGCTCCAGATGAGCTATAGCTTCTAAACTCCTAGTATCCCCCTTACTAACCCCATGTAATAGGGTTTACAGGGTTTAGGGTCTACGCTCCTAGTATCCCCCTTAATGACCCCTATAATATCCTATTATACTCCCCTATAGAATCCTCTTTACGGAGCTCAGACTATACCTCAGATGAGGCTTTCCTGAATTGCCAAGTGGCTGCTTGATGACACGAGGCTGGAAAGCCATGGTCTTCTTGAAACCTGCCAGCATCGCATACTTCAGAAGTTAACAGAACATTGAAGGTGGTGGGTTTCAGGCTTGCTGCTTCCGGGCTGTTCTTACAGAATAGGGTTGACGCAAGAAAAGAAGCAACAGGACCTCGAAGTCCGGTCGTCGCTATGTTTTCTAACGCTGCATGCAGTTTGAATAAGGAGACACAATAAATAAAAGGGAAAGGCTACTACTGGGGTACCTAGGGAACTTTTAGAACTTGGAAACTCCATGCTGGCAGCGTGAGCCTACAGGACCCTGACAGATTCTACTGAGCATGTCTGATGTATTTGTGCATTGGTAGTGGAGCAAGTCTGAACACTGAGCGCTTTAATGAGTTGATGTTAGAGAAATTCTATACATACATATATCTATACATATATATATATAGCATAGATCACCCCCTTTCCACCCAATCGAGAACGCCTGTAGCGAAATCCGCGGGGTCGTAGTAGGCAAGGGTGTCCTGCGACAGAAGCATGGTGAGCAAATCCGTGGGCCCCGTCAACCTCCAACCCAGACTTGCGTGTCACTTAATTACCAGCTTGAACCTGCACTCGACGACGTGGACCCAACTGGAAATCCAAACGTGCGCCCTGCAGTGAAATATCTACAAAATGCCTATAAAGACTTGACTCTTCCGCTTTCCGCTCCGTCCAAGTCAGAAGCCCCAAAAAGGGATCCCACAGCAGGGGCTGAGGCTTCCCAGGATCTCTGCTGCGCGGTTGATAAAGCTATGACGAACGACTGCAATCAACCACTGAGCGCACAAGCCCTGACAACCGGCAGTGAAAGTTCTAAGTATCCTGTGCTAAGCTATGATATAACTTGTGCATGGCCATCGAACTTGTAAGTGGTTATAAGGTCACGAGCCTTAACCACATGAGACCCCTTAAATGCATGTTCTGGTAGTTTCGCAACATCGAGGGCCGCAAGGTTATACCTAAATATTGAGACCCCTGACGGAGGGACTGCAAAGAGCAGCCCCCGATTCTTGATTATCTTCCATACCAGAAGCTCGCATATAAGATCTTGCAAAAACCCTGCTGCACAACATGCTTTCCCAACCAGCTGAAATCTATCAGTCCCAGTTTAAGTACAACCTGAGGTCTTAGTCTTTATTTTTTCAAGGACATCAAGGGGACCCTCAGTGTGACACATGCCTAAACCCTAAACCCTAATGCCCATATCGCCTCAAGCCCAATCTTCAGATCCGCGATCTTGCAAAGTGCATCCTGGCAAAGCAGGTAGGGTCTGCCTCAGGTATCAGGCTACAGCCCTAAAAACATAATGCAGGGCTCATGGAAACCCTAAACCCTGGAAACATGTAGGGGCCCATATTACATGGAGCATGCATGATTAGGAACTTACGGTTTGACTTTGGATGGCGGGCTTAGGGGCACTTAGGGGTTGAAAGGGTCATTACTCGGTTCTTCTCATGCTTGTCTGCATATACAAGCCTATATAACCCCTATGTGCACAATAGTTTCCATGTTGTTTTCCATTTGATTCTTCATGGATTCTCCGTTATTGGGGTCATACCCATTTATAACGACTGACCTTTAGCCTCTACTGAGACTATCCCCAAAAATCGCCTTCCGAGGTAGGGCAGCTCTGGGCTTTTACCACGAATACTATTAGGGTTTAGGGTGTAGGCTATACGCCAATTTACTACATTGCTGTTTTTAATAGATTTTCAAAACTAGACTTACGGCACGGTTTGTATCACGCCTAGGTCTTGATGCCTTCCCCACAAAGACCACACACGTACACCACCCCAAACCCTAGAACCTAAACGACCCCCAAAACCCAAAGCCCTAAACTCTAAATAACCCACTAAACCCAAAGCCCTAAACTCTAAATTGCCCACTAAACCTAAGGCCCTAAACTCTAAATAACCCACTAAATCCAAAGCTCTAAACCCTCATAGGGACAAACGATCCATGACCTGAGGGTGCATTACCCAAGGCTATAGGCCTGGCCGGGGGTCCATCTGCTAAGATCTCGTACCTATAGTTGGACAAGGATTAAAAGCCAGGGATTTGGTTGCTGAAAGCTTCAGCTTGGGACCCTAAAGCTGAATTTCAAGCCCCAAGCCCTCACCCTAAACCTCAAACCCTGGCTTTGACGAAGCCCACAGCAATCGCCTTTGCTCCCATGAATTCCATGACGTCCGGAGCGGGCCACACCTGCTGTTCTGCACGTTCTGATGGGACGACTCCTTGAGTATATAAAGTGTGTGTCTTTTGTTGGGGGTGGGGCTTAGTCTACCTTGGGGGCTGGGGGTCTCTGGGATTCTCTCGGCTTCGGAGCTCGGGTGGTCGAGGTTTCAGTTTCCAGAAACGGCAGTATGCAGGCGCCCTGCTCGATGCAAGCGTTTAGTGGCTAAGTGTTTAGGGAAGCGAGGTCAACGTCTTATTTCTGTCGATTCCATTTGCAGAGGTATCGCAGAAAGAAGCGTAAGTTTGGGTGCTTACATTGAAGGAGGATTTGCGCCAGCACTGTCTGCCGTGCTGTGGAAAGCCCGCGGTTTTTAACCTCCCTTCTAAGCCACTTTGCCAATACTAAAGATCTGGACCGGACTATGTGTTTCCCTATACAAGCCTAAACCCCAAGCCGGAATGGTGGTTGCCCCTTTCTTTTCCATTCCCCTGTGATATCAGTGGAGATTGGATACTCCCCCCAGTCAGTAACAGGTGGATAACAGCTATAGTATGATCATACATAGTCGCATTACCCCTATCATCGACTGGTTGGGGGCTACCTGAAGTATACGTAATCCCTAAACCCTCAACTCTAAACCCTACCCTTCAAACTCAGGCAAGCTCTAGACCTGGCCTGGATCCCCTCCTTACGCAAGGTGCGCATCCCATCGTCGAACTTGCCCTGGTCACCTGCCCCAACGCGCTGGGATTAAGGATCCAGGTTGTGTAGGGGCCTAAATCAGTAGGATGATGAGAATTCAACTGAAAAGAACATAAAATATGAAAGTGAAAATGCTCTCCTTGTTTCAGGTCGCCTGCTCAACCTCCTTAGAGGTCTCTTACAATGAAAAGTGGAATTCCAAAACAGGCCATAGAAGGACAAGGTCGTCGGAGCGACGGGCCTATGCAGGGGTCTGTGTTAGCGAGTCATTTGTGTCGGGCTGGGTGGATGCGTAAACACCTCGTTCTTTCAAGGCTTCTGAAAAGGGATCGTATGAGGATCAAGCAGGACTTTTTTAGTTGGATGTCTGTTGTGTAGCCTGTTGGAGCTGCGCCTTCCAGGTCTTTCATCCAGTCGGTGTATTCCTGTCTTCATGTTGCTCCGCATAGGTCATGCTTGATGTTGGAGAGAAAGGGGCGGACTGCATGGGGGGTGCAAGTTGGTATCTGGCGGAACCCCTGGATCAGTAGAGGACTGATGGCGTAGTCGACACAAACCTCCGAGAGAACAAGATTAAGCTTCATGCGCCTGGCAACAGTGTCTGGCAAAAAGATGGGGCTCTTCCACCGTGACTGCTGCTACGAAGACTACTTGGATGACACAGAAGTGTTGTCAAGATGGAGGTGCCCGAGAGTGCAGACCTTGATATGGAAGTTGGTCTTTGCTGAGACTCCCTAGAATGAAACTCTAGCATTCCTGTACACAAACCCTAAACCTAATTCCCAAACCATCCGGTAGCTTCCCAAAATAGGGGGGACCCCAATATAGACCCCAAACTACTGTAAGCCTTATGATACGGCCCCCCCCCAAATACAAATCCCCCTTTAAAGGTACCCCTAACTTCATCTACACCCAGGCTCAAGCCTCCATCTGCTTTGATCTGACCAGGGTTGCATCGCACGATGATCGCGTCAAAGTTCTTCACCACATCGAAGAACACCTCGTGCTCCTGGCGGGAGATCGCTACGTGGACCTCAAGAGTGTAATGGTCCAAAAGCCCTAAAAACAGTGCAAAAAGCCCTTATTCTGCGTACTGCGGGGTCCGGGTATCAATAGCATGCATGATGCTTTAATGTGACCATAGCAGAGTGAGAACTCTATCGCATAATCACAGTGGATAGTCCGGTGGATAGTTTACAGGTGGATGGTGTCCCTCCCATTTGTGTATATGTATACATATGTACACACACATATATAGATATATACACATACTGTGCATACATATATATATATAACTATACATATATACATATATATATATATATACATACACACATATACGTGTGTATATATATATAGATACATATTATATTCAGGACCAGCATCAGGACCCCATAGCCTAGAGGAGCCATATTATCGAGCACCTACGGGAAAGTTTATTGTGATTGACTTAAACCCTGAATCCTAAACCCTAGAGGCTTCTGAAAGCTTCCCAACCCTTGCAAAGCACCCCACGCTGCACTCTGAATCCCCGTGCAAGCAAGTGAAGACGACTCTCGACAAAAAAAGAAAAAAGCATGGAAAGCACGTGGCACCAATTTCTTCCCTCTTGAAACCCAGTGGAGACGACTATTGACAAAAAACAAACTGCTCCTTGGATGGAGGTTGGGGCTCCGATAAGCTCCAATAGACTAAACCCAGTTTCTAGTTCACTGTCCATGTTCTCGTCCATTTGGTTTTTCATTGTTAGGGTAATATCCCTTCATAGCCCTAAACCCTAAATAGTACAGTAGTTTCCATTTTCTTCTTCCAGTATTTCATATAACCCCTACATAGTGGTCATATAATCCGTACAAGTCCACGCCCTTTTGGTCTGACCGTTTAAACGCTTTGCCTCGTGCACGTAGTGGATGAGCTGGCAGCTCATGCCAGCACCAATCATGCCATTCGCAAAGGGAATGCTGTCGTAACCTGATAGCCACGTCTGCTTCTGAAACCCTTGATCATGTCAGCAAGAAGCTCTTGTTCTAGGATAGGTAGCATCTTATCAACAAGCTTCAAGTCACCTGGGTGGTTGTCAAAATTATGGTCCCTTTTTGGATCCCTATCATAATGGCACCTAATATTTAGGGTACCCAAAAAAGGGACCACAATTTTGACAGCCACCCACCTTGGGAAGTCTCAAAGCCTGAGCCAGAATCCTGTACCACGAATCCACCTGACTTCTTTACAAGCAGCTTTAAGAACTCTGGACTTATAAGCCGCTGTTTTCTGCGCCCCACCTTTGGTAACAAAGGCCAGTGCCATTTTTGCTTTCCCAAGGCTCAAGGAAAGCTCTAGGATGAAATGCCTAAGAACAAAGCCAAGTCGAATCTTTTGAAGGCTGAATATTTTCAGAAATTGCTTCCGTTGGCACCCACTGAATGTTCAGACATCTTCCTCACAAACCCATAAATCCTAAAACCCTAACCCACCATAGATTTCATGACTGAAAGCTGTCTTGCAACTCCCATCAGGTTCCAGTGAAACAGCTATCGGTATGTTGGGAGACGTAGGGAAGACTCACACTGCAAAGACGATGATAATGATGATAATAAGGATATTGATGATGATAATGATGCCATCCTCATCAGTACGCATCTCGGGCCACAACTATATCCAAACCTCAGGCAACCCAATCTTCAAAGAATCAAAGCCGTGCCTTCAGGCCTTGGACACATTCACATAATTAGCCAACCAGCCTGAATCCTCAACACCCAACGAAAGATTCTAAGCTAGGAAGCGATGGCCGTTGGAGCTCTTGTCGCTGCCTGGTCGTGGGAACTTAGGGTTGATGGGCTTGGGTTTCAGCTTATGGTTTAGGGTTTGCGTTCATGGTGTGTTGGAGGCCCTGACTCTGGCTCATCCTGAAGACCTTATGGAATACGACTTCCATGACAGACTCCTTGCTGAGTGGCTCCGGGTAGTGTCATGGGAGCCCTTCTCATGATGGCCGTGTAGGCCCTTGAGCTTTGGAAAGCTGGTATACGACCGCAGTGGAACATGGCCTCCGAAATGAAACGACACCAAGCCTGACGACCTGTTCGTGGAAGGGACCCTTCAACTGAAAGCGGCTCTGCAGGTTTGTCTCTGGTACTTAATGCCAACTCCGACCAACCGACTGTAACCCTTGAGCCCTTCCAATTCTCCTAAAGAAGCCAAGAACTTGGAAGCGCATGATATGTAACAATGTTCCCTATACACCCAAATCCAGCAAGCTCGTGAGAGAGGCTATTAATTAGCATTAATCCGCTGCTGCACTCCCCGTGATCTGACTTAACCGAAGCGCTTCCTCCAAAAATCATGGATCACCAAACAAGGGCTACAAACCAAAACCACCCTAAGGACTGACCCTCTCCGGACCTCCGAACGGCTGGGAACGCACGTAGATTCCGACCAAACAAGTCTTGAACCTGCAGGGATCTGGGAAGTTTGAGGGTCCTACTTCAGTGGTCCACACCCGCCAAGTTCAGTTGGGTTTGGGACCTGATATGTCAAGCTACATCTTGGACCCCGTTGTCAGCAGGTGCATGGCAAGCCTTGAGCCCACAGTGTAGCTGTTGCTGCAGGGCTTCATGATGTAGACTCATTCAGGAATAGTTTCCTGGGTCGTAGAGCTCCCATTTAAACCCTAAACCATGACCTCCTCTAAAAACAACTTTGGAGTCACTACCCAGCAATCCCTTTGGTGTTCCTTTTTTGGGGGTAAACACAGACAGGAACTATATAGGGCCCCTTGCGTAAACTCCGGAAACAGCGGAGCCTGGCCAAAGCCCCACATCAACAGCGGCGCTCATTTCATCCATGGGAATTCCCAAGAGAAGGTTCCTGTAAACCTCACCACCTACAGCTTTATGGATTCTAGTTCCACGTCTTCATGAGGGGCAGATTACTACGAAGCGCAGGTGACAAAGGTTGCAGGTAGGTGTACTTCAAGGTTATCGCCTCCCCGGGTCCCCAAATTCTCTCCCACTCCAAAGGATGGTGTATAAACTTTGCTTGCATCATCTGTAGCCGGCCGGCTCAACAAAACGTGAACTGTGCTTACCAGTTTACCTGAAAGATTCGACGAGCCAGATCTTGAAATGTGAGATCTCTAGGGCGGTAAACCCACCCAGGCTGCATGAAGCCTAAGTCTAAAGAGTTTGCATCATGTGGGGCACCTTTTGCGCTTCTACGAAGCCAACCCGCAGATGTCTGGAAAGACAGCTGCATGAATATCCGTGACGTGGATTCTACTCCTCATCCTCAAATTCAGCACGCAAGACAACCTTGGGAATACTAACAAACGGGCGCACGATTACCTGTGGTTCAAGTGTAGTGTAGACGGTAGGCCCCAAGCACTTGATTTGATGGCGAACCTGTTCTAGTACGTGTAGCGCAATTGCAATCTTACCGTATTCATTCATACATTGCTGGCGTACTCTATCTGAATGTCTGCTAACATTTCTGCCAGCCCCGCGCGGTTAACCATGAACACCGAAACACACGCATACCGAAACACGATCACAACTCCAGTGACACTCGAGCCTCCAGAGCCCTCCATCTTGAAACAGCATGCACCCACACCAAACAAAAACTACACAAATCCTGAGCCCCTAAACCATCTGAAGCCCAACCCCAGAACAGCCCTCAGCCAAACGCGCCCCGTATAACCCTAAGCCCTAAACCCCAGGTTCCATTTTATTTCCACTTGATTCTCCGCTAGTGACGGTAGGATTCCTAAACCCTACTATATCGCGATGTAACCATGTACATACAAGGTTTAGGGTTTAGGGTTGGTCCTGTACCCAATAGTTAGGTACTTGGGATTTGGGTAATAATAAATATTATAGTACAGGTTTTGGATAAGTATATAACTATGAAGTACTCGGGCCCTTAGGGATATATAGTAGGTTCGATGTCATTTCCTTCTTCTCCATTTGACTCTTCACCGGAGGCCCATAAGCAGAGACCCGAGCCCCCACCAGCCAAACGGGCCACCCTAAACCTCAGACCCTAAGTAAACCCTAAACCCTATATGAACCCTAAAACCCGAAACCGAGCCCCACCTGGGTTTCAATGGCTGTGGCAGCAGGCCGAGATCGTCCTTGGACCTCGGTTGCTTCCAACCCAAAGTAGAATAATCGCATTTTGGGCTACATTTAGGTGTTGTGGGCTATTGTTTCACCTATTTTGGTAGTCTGTAAACCCTCAACCGTATGGCAGGTACTGTGGATGGGAGGAGCCTCGCTGTTTCAATGTTTTGGAATAGTGGATCATGAGCTAGAAAAAGACAATCGATAGTGACATGGGAACTGGGAACGCATTGCTTTATACCATGTGGGTTTACTCAGCGGAAGTTGGCTAAACCGCATGTCCGGTTGAAGTGTTGGCAAGGGCTATTAATATTGGGCTTAAAGGGATGCTGGAAAAGAAAATGGAAACCTTTGGGCTTATAAAGGAATACTGGCAAAGAGAATGGAAATTCGGGCTTATATTGGGATACTGGAGAAGAACATGGAAACTACCAGGGTCATAGGGTTTGGGGGCCTTCCTAAACACAGTTCTTGTCCAGGGTTTAGGGTTGCGCTAAGCCCGAAGCCCTTACCCTCCAAACCCTATACAGACTTCACCCTACGAACTACAATGCTACGGCGAGCTGCACAGGGAAGGAAGATCTGAATCACCTCAAAAACAACATCATGGTGCTTGGGGTATTTAGGGTTTAGGGTTGGGACATCTACCACACCACTCCTGGGAGGGAAAGATCTGAATCACCTCAGCCAAATGCAGGTCTTGATGCCGCAAGGGAACGGTCAATCATCAGAATGCTGGTGATTGTGGGAAACAATTGGGGGGGGGGTTGGGGTTGCAGCCCTGGATCATATCTGCGTGGGTCCTCAAAGCGCACCACCTTTAATTTTTAAGAACCCCATTTACTGACCATTTTGGAACATTTTCAAAACTTGAAAGTAAGCCGATGTAGGGCTACTTTCTGTAGAAACCACCAGTTGGGGCGAGGACGTGTGGGATCGGACTAATTTGTCGAACGCTCACAAGAGTTTGAAGCTTGGCCGCGGACACCTTGGTCAATGCCGTCACGTTCACAGGTTTGCCCTGGGCCGCGGCAAGGATTATTAATACTATTACTATTCTTACTATTACTAGTATTATTGCTACTAGTACTACAATTGTCATTGCTGGCCAGTTGTTTCGTTTCAGAAAACCGATGTTAAATCCTGTTTGGGACTATCCTCTATACATAAACCACCATATGGATTTGCCCAGTTGGTCGCGCTCTTGCTTAACACATCTTGGAATCACAACAACACACAAGCAAATGGCAAATGCTCAAATGCCAACATCAGATTGAAAATCACTACTACACTACCACTAACCCAAAACCGCACTCGAGATACTTGATTCCAATGCCCGACAAGCCCACCATCAAGTCCTCCGCGGTGACGTCAAGGAATCTACACAGAGCCCAAACCACATTCAAACCCTTGAAACTTGCAAGTTCGAAGCAGGAACGGGTAACTAGTCCATGTCCGAAATGCCTTTCCATTCATTGTTCTACGGGAGTTTCCCGAAATGAGGCGCAAAAAGGAACCCCTAGATTTTGGAAACCCGCCTTTGTCCTGCCACACATCCCCAAACCCAAAACCCTGGGTCCATCAGGCGCTGGATCTGGGTGCCAAGCCGAGCGATACTGCCTCAGCAACAGGAAGATGATTTTGGCAAACCTAAAGGCAGTAATTATATGCAGTATTGAAAGGCGTGTTATGAGTTCTGAGGATTGCAAGCGGTGAAAAAGGATTAGAGGGGTTTTGGATGGTTTTCGGTAGCCCCAACCCCGAAGACAAGGACCCTTTATAAGTATCATATGACTCAGCGCCCCCTCCGCCACCTAGAATAAAAGAGCAAGGCAACAAATCCAATTCCGCAGGTCCACAGAACAAGAACTCACGATCTGAAATGGAAAAGCCTCAGACTCTTCGGATTTCAGAGTACAGCTTAAACCACCTTAAGTCTGAACCTGCATTTTCTAGGGTCTGGAAATGTCTAGGAATAATTTGCCTCAGGCCTAGAAGGTTTTCGACCACCAAAATGCTTCTGAACTATTCTTCGACCCCTAGTCCAGCCCCAACAAATCCGCGTTAAATGTAGGGGTTATGGCTGTTGGGCTCGGACTAGCCTCCTTCTGAAGGGACATAAGTCACCTGTTGGGGGGCTCCATTTTCGGTTGGGGCGTGGGGGCCTGAATGGGGGCAAGAGACAAACACGGAGGTCAAGGGAAAAAAGAGGGATCCCCACTTTCCACAAGAAGCAATGGGACATTTATCTGATTCCCGAAACTTTGAGGCCAAAAGACAACTCCACACTACAAACTACGAGCAATACAAGGCCTCTACAAGGGCTGCTGAAGTAATCCTGGAGGAGCTGCAGGAACATTCTCATCCGCAAGGCCTAGAACACTCTAAAAACGTTGAGGCAAGTCAGCGGAGTGTGAGAAGCCTATTACCAGGCATCTGCCCTTGGCGCCCGCCCGCCCCTCCCAGAAAACGACCACTGTCATGAGGGTCGCATCCCTGAATCCACTCCCCGTGCCTACCACCATTTTTCAGACGCTAAAGGGATCCGAAAGTCTTACACCCAGGACGCCGCACGCCTGACTGCAACCGCTATGGCAGCATGTGGAGTTTTATCGACATGTCCCTTCTACAATCCCTGGACTTGAAAAATCCCAGAGAATCTGCAGGGCCTCCAAGGGCAATTGCGCCACTATACAACAGAACATCTGCACTACTGTTAGACAAGGAACCTGGGATGGTAATACTGGTCCATGTTGTTGTCCTTCTTTTCTGTTCTATTTGGTTCTCCATTAGATCATTGTTTAGGCCCCCAAACCCTAAACCCCACTTTTGATGAAACCCGCTTAAATGCTACCCTTCATCCCCCATTCATAAATTAAACCTTCCTAAACCCTAAACAAAAAACAAGACATATCTTTCCGAGGCCCTGGCCCGGCGGTGGCGGGCTTGCCAGCCGGTGGGGCGGGCTTCGCCGCAGGGTCGGCCTGGCTTTTAGGGTTGAGGGTTAGGGCGGGAAGTGTTGGTACCCAAGGGGCCCATGCAGCTCTATAGTATATTATACCTGGACCCTACAGGGCCCTAAGTATGCTATGTAAACTAACATGGACCCTTTGGGGTATGTCCTGGCTTTTAAATACATCAACTCCTTCAGATTGACCCTACGATTTACCAACTCGCAGCGGCTGTTGTTCAAGTCAGATACTGGAGCCATCAGACATGGGCAGCATCCCTCTCAACTCTGTAGAAGCAGGCGCTTTCGCCAAAAACTTCGGCCAAACCCACAAGCCCTGCAAGCCCCAAACCTTGAGCTATCTGGAGAGATGCCATGCATGTGC